CGATTTTAGCCGGAAAAGCCATGGGTCTGACTTGAGCAAGCCATGGATGGCCGGAAAAGGACCCTGGATAGAAGTTGAGCTAGGACTAGACTAGATTTCTTCGAGATCTCTCCATCGAATCACACAAGCGGGCCACCAGGAGACGTAGGAGACAAGTACACGCCTCAAACAGCCATGGGAGACCATGGATTGAGTGGGGGTTGAAGGGGATTAGGGTGGCGGCGGCTAGGGTTTGAGTGAAGTTACAAAGAGAGTTGGAGAGGAAGGGGATTCAAGGGTGGCGGGTTGGTGAGAATGATTTAGGTTAGGGTGGTCGTTTGGGTTAAAAAAAGGTAAAGGTGAGCGGTGGCCGTTGATCTGAATGATCAATGGCCTAGATTAAAAGGGGTAGGAAGGGATCCGGGTTTGGGTAGGGTTTAAAAGGGTTAGGGTCAGGTGGCTGGGGGAATTGGGGTCCAATTTGGGCTAGAATTGAAATACAAAAGGGGCTGTTATTTAAATAGCCAGATTTCTTTTTTTTTTTTAATTTATAAAAATAGTAAATAGTTTTTGAAAACTAAATTGAAAGGGCTAGAATGATTTATAACACATAATTAATAATTTAAAAATACTGAACCCAATTTTATGAATATAAAACCTAATTAAACCTTAAAAGGGCTAATATTGCAATTATGTGCAATTTAGCTTTAAAAAATAATAAATAAATTTATAAAAATATGTAAAATTACTTTAATCATATTTTGGCATAAATATAAAAATTCAATAGATGAATTATCAAAAATAATAATTTTGGAACTAATTATTTGGGATTTTATGGATAAAAAGGGAAATAAATCAATTTAAAAACCTTAAAAATTATGGAAAAAAATAATAAAACGCTTGGAAATACATATATATGATATTTTTAAAGTATTTTGAATGTTGAAAATATATAGGAAAAAATTGGATATCAACAGCGGGCCTGCTGGAGTTTGATACTGGGGAGCCACCTGATCCAGTGTGTGAGTAGCGGCAGTCTGTGCTCCTCCCCCAACCCGAAAGACGGTTGGTGCCACCGAAAATGTACCGATCTGGGCCACACTCTCCATAAGGCCCGCCAAATTGACTAGAGCGTCCTGAAGCACTGGAGTAGCTATAAACCCTTCGGGACCTGAGCTGGCCCGACAGGTATAGTTTGAGCTGGAACCTCCTCCTCAAAATCTACTTGAGGCTCCACTGCAGGTGTTGCTGCTCAAGCTCTAGGATGAGCTCTGCCTTTGTCTCGGCCTCTGGCACGACCTCGACCTCGACCTCTACCCCTGGTCATAGGTTCCACTAGGGGATCCGACTACAGATATTGTGCGTGTTCTCGCCATCTGTGATAGAACAAGAATAGAATGGTTCAATCATCAATGATAGAATAAAATCGTACGATAAAGAAGAATAGAAGTAAAAATTGCTCCTAAACTCCACAACCTCTGAAAAATAAGTACAGACATCTCCGTACCGATCATCCAGACTCTACTAAGCATGCTCGTGATTCGTAGGACCTAGGTAACCTAATGCTCTGATACCAACTTATCACGACCCGAAATTCCCACCCTTAGAACCATGATGGAGCCTAACATTTCACTTGCTAGGTAAGCCAACGTTAGAATAGTTTTTAGCCATTTTTAACAATTCAAATTAATCGATACCGAGTAAATTGAATAAACTGAAATAGAGTGAGAAAACCCATAACAATAGCAATATCTAGATACAATCCCAAAACTGGTGTCACAAGTACACGAGCGACTAGAATAATACAAATAATGGTCTGAATGAAAGTAAAATTGTTTGAAATGAAATAAACAACTAGGATAGGATAGAAGGGGACTTCAGGGCTGTGAACGTCGTGCAACTGTATCTCAAGTCTGTGAACCGGCAATCAATCCGAGCAATGTACTGACCGCCGCTAAGACCGACTCCAAAATCTATACAAGAAGTACAGAGTATAGTATGAGTACCACCAACCCTATGTACTCTATAAGTGCCGAACATAACCTCGATGAAATAGTGACGAGGCTAAGGCGAGTCACTTACAATAACATGTACGTAGTATAATAATGAAAACAGGAAAGGAACACAGGAAAGTAAGGAAATTAATATATGAAAATACCTCAAAATCGGTTCAACTAGAAACACTAGTACTCAAATCTTGTATGAAAGCACCGAAATCTAACACAATGCAACAATGAATAAAAAAACATAATTTATTGCGGCGCGCAACCCGATCCCACTGTACAAATGCAATCCTCCTGTATTTCACCATATCAATATCAATAATAGCATGTAAAATCTGTTGTGACCCGCAACCCGATCCTATCGTATAATCAAAATCAATATCATAATCCTTCCTTATTTCACCATATCAAAATCAGATATAAAATCCGTCGCGACGTGCAATCCAATCCCTCCATATTAATATCAATCTTCTTTTATTTCACCCGTTGCGGTGTGCAATCCAATCCATAAACAAAAATCAATAAATATAATCAATTCAACAATTCAATTAACAAGACAAGTAATGAAGAATATGAAAATAAACCATAAAGGAACCTCGTACCAAATCAAGGAATATCACAATTACTACAAAGCAATAAGACAAGTCAAATATATGACAATTAAAGTGTACAACTAAGATAATTAAGGCAAGTATCAATTAATCATGGAAGCATGGAAGAAACAGACATTTTAAAATGAGAGAAATAAGTGACATGTAGCAAGTTAAGGCGTAAGAAGCAATTAAAGCATGTAACCATGAAGACATGGAATGAAATAATTAACGAAATACAGAAAAGCATGGAAACAAGTATTTTGATGGAATATATACACTTGTCACATCGCATATACGCCGCTACATAAATTCACATAGCTCAAGGGTTCTTAATTCCCTCATATCAAGGTTAGACCTAACACTTAGGTCATTCTGCAAGCAAATCAAAGCTCATCCGGGGCCTTTCCTCTAAAATTAACCTCCGAACCAATCGAATCTAACCAAAACCGAATTACAATCCATAAAGCTAAGATCTTTATACTTTTCTCAAAAGTCAACCATGAGCTTGCTTGGCCAAAATCCGAGATTCAGACCAAACCCAATTATCCATTCACCTCCGAGCCCGGTTATGTAATTAGTTTTGAAATCCGACCTCAAATTCGAGGTCTAAATCCCAATTTACAAAAATCCCTAATTCTACCCAAATCTCTAATTTTTACCATAAAAATCCTAAATTTGATGTTGAAAACTTATGAAATGTAATGGGTAATTGAAAGGAAGTAGATTAAAGCCACTTACCATTGAATTTAGGAAGAAAATCTCTTGGAAAAATCGACTCTAAGGTGTTTAAGGTTGAGAGTTTGTGAAAAATGAGCCAAATCCCGTCTTTCTCTCTTTTTATCCAAGCGCAGATGTCGCAAATGCGACCTGGGGTTCGCAAATTCGAACCCCACAAATGCGAGAAATCCTTCGCAAATGCGAAGACACTCCATCTCTGCTTTCATCGCAATTGCGATATGAATTGTTCGCAATTACGAACACTGGACAGTCACAAATGCGACCATTTGATTGCAAATGCGATCTAACCCAATCCCAGCACCCTTTTCGCAAATGCAAACCTGACAGGGCCCCTCTACTATCACAAATGCGATCCTGACCTTGAAATTGCGATGTTTGAGGCACGTGCACAAACCAACAAAAATTCTAACTCTTTCAAACAATCTGCCACGCGTTCGAGACTCACACGAGTCCTCGGCTCCAAACCAAACATGCACACAAGTGTAATAACATCATACGAACTCGCTCGCACGATCAAAACACCAAAATAACACATAGAACTACGAATCAGACACCAAAACGAATAAAATTTTCAAAGAAACCCAAGAACATGCAACTTTACAACTGGACGTTTGATCACGTCTAATCAACTCCGTTTTGTACCAAATTTTGTAGACAAGTCATAAATACTGAAATAAACATATACCAAGTTCCAGAACCAAAATCCGAACCCGGTAGCAACAAAGTCAACCTATAGTCAAGCTTAGGAATTCTTTAAGCCTTTAAAGCTTGAATTCTTTAAGCCTTTAAATTTCTAGTTTTCAACAAATTACGTTAGATCAAGTTAGGGACTTCCGAATTCGATTCCGGACATATGCCCAAGTCATTCAAATTGCGGTACTGACCCACCGGAACCGTCAAAACATTGATCCGGGTCCGTTTACACAAATAAGGCACAATTTCATATTTTCATCAATTTCCTCATAAAAACTTTCTGAAAAGAGGACACCGATTGCCATGCAAATCGAGGAAGGCTAAACGGAGCTATTTGAGGCCTCGGGACACAGAAATTAANTATATATGTGTGTGTGTGTGTGTACTCACTTTAATTTTTATTTTTTCCAGTGTTTGATTTGATGTAAACATGACCAAGTATCCCCATCCAGTCCTTCGGTGACACGTTATATTTCATAGGAAAAATCATCTTTTACCATTACAAAAGATATGAGTTGTCTTTAAGCTGCAACAAGACTGTACATCAGGATTCACCAGGTGTCGTTAAGTCAGTTGACGACAAAATAGCTTAGGCATGGGTACCAAAAAAGAATGTATAATAGTAGTATATTAACATATAGAAAGCTAACTAAGATTCCCAATGATGTGGAAAGGTACTGGGTGCCAACTACATATTCATAGTTAATTCTTTTGTTTAATATCTCACTACACATTCATTTCTCATCGTGCTGGATTTATTTACTAGTTATTATTTTTTAATTTTTATAATGCTATTATATTCTTATAATTTTTATTGATGATATTGATATACTGTCCTTTTTAGTTTTCTTGAGCCGAGTATCTTTTGAAATAATTTTTCTACTTCCTCGGGTAAGGTAAGATCTGCTTACACACTACCCATTTTTAATGAATTGTTGTTGTTGTATTCTTTTGTTTAATATTACTAGTGTGTGGTAAACAGTGGAAGAGAAGAATCAGAATGAGGAGTATAAAAGGGAAGAAAGCATGAGAGAAGAAGAGTGAAGGTTGTGGTAAGCAACAAAGCTAAGTAGCAAACAAGGAGAGAAGTGCAACAACCTCGAAGCTAGTTCAAACTAGTGGGAGGTTGTCTGCAACAAAGCAGCTGTTAATACTCACAAAGCAAAAAGAAAAAGGAAGTTACTATTTTTAGAAAGTATGGCTCGTGGAAAGGTTCAGATGAAGAGGATAGAGAACCCGGTTCATAGGCAGGTGACCTTCTGCAAACGGCGAGCAGGGCTTCTTAAGAAGGCGAAGGAGCTGTCCGTGTTGTGCGATGCTGAAATTGGTCTTTTCATTTTCTCCGCCCATGGCAAGCGCTATGAACTCGCCACTAAAGGGTACATTCCTCATTGATTGTATTGAATATTTTTGTGTCTTCCGAATATAGAAATTAAACTCAAATAATAATACAATACCAATAACATACTCAGTGTAATCTCACATAATTAGTTCTGAATAGTAGTGTGAACGCAAACTTTACTGTTTCTAATAGATCTTCGGCTCACGGATAAACCCAATAATAATATATTTTATTATTACCCCTACCTTTAGAGGCTAACTCCAGGATTTGAAGGTTCTGGGTGTACTTTTGGATTCAACCAAAATCAGCCTTGTATATAAGGTGTTCACTAATAATATATCACTATTTTCTAAAGACATACATATATACATGGAATTTTTGTTGAACTTTACTGGTGTCAGTGACCCCTCTTTGTATAGCGTAGGTCCTCCTCTGCCTACCTTATGAAGGTAAAAAGATTGTTTTAAATAGACCATCGGCTTAAGGATAAACCGATAAACCCAAATAATAATATATTTTATAATATCTAATATAGTTTTTCTCTATTTAAGTACAAAAATGTATTAAGGAGTATTATTACGTAGTGCAGAACAAAGGGTGTGCAGCCACCGTTTTCTTGTTGGAATAGTATTATTCACTTAAATTGAATGTCTTTAGTCACTAAATTCTGAATTCGATTCTTTATGCATAGTGCAACATAACATATACATGTATTTGAATGTTTTTAGCATAAGTTCTCTAAAAATCAAAATACATGTGGAGCTAGCTATAAATTGACAACTATAGAGTTTTGTAATTCAAGACAAGTCTATGCATGCTCAAATTATTTCGTTATTTGTATTTTTGTTATTACTATTTTGTTATCCTAAACTATTAATACTCCTTTTATTTTTAGGTTTTAAGTCTTTTTCTCTTTTTTTTATGTGTTTATTTTTTTGTGAAAGGACCATGCAAGGGCTGATTGAGAAGTACCTGAAGTCAACCAGGGGAGCTGAGGTGGCTGAGGAAGCCAAAGATAAACAAACTCTGGTAATTCTTAAGGATAATTAACAGTCATGTATCCCTTTATGTTTTCTCTTTTTTCTGTTTCTCCCCGGTGTTAGTCATTCGAATTGGAGCCCGATTATATTTGGATTTGTGCCGTGTAGGGCCCCATTCGAAGGGAAGTGTTCTCTACTAAGAATTTTTTCATATCCAAGGCTCGAACCGAGACCTCTGGTTAAGGGAGTAGCAGTCTCGTCCACGGAATGTGATCCTTTACATTTTCTCTCTTGTGGGGTCAATATTGTCCATGCTCTTTACTTTTCATGGGATCGTCTCTAATTGATATTGAAAAAATAAAAGACAGATAAGACAAAAAAATAACAAACTGTGTAATATTCTAAGGATTTAGTACATTATTTTCGTCAATAGTATAGAATTTTTTTTAATTTAATTTGTTATAGATGGTTAGTTATCTTTTTCAAGTTATCAAAGTAATGTTTATTATTAAAAAAATTATAGGAGTAATATTTTATACAACTTAAACTCTTCTTATAATTAGTCAATTTTAGAATGAGATGCTGCTTCTAGTGATATATTATTGCATGCATGACACGTGGAAAGTGACATGCGTAATAAGATATATTCAGACGAGTGGATAGATAACAAAAATTAATTTACGCATATGCGGGATTNATTTTCTAATTAAGTATTTGTTTTCAATCTTTTCTTTAGGGTTTGATATGAAAATAGTAAAATGTAGCAAGAATTTGTAGAGAGTCCGACGCTCTAAAGCTTCTAGTGAATTTTGATGCCAAGTGAGAAAATCTGGGTAATAAAGAAAGTATGGATATGTGTGTCTATTTTTTAATTTGTTCTTTTCTTTTTGCTTGTGCTCTTTATTAAGAAATTTTTGGTTTTTGCCATTTTTATTACTGGGGAATGAAAATTAGCAAAAAGAACTAAAAATGAACAGAATATGCACTCAAATAATGAATAGGGCTACGACGTCTAAATGCAAAATTTTCTTACGAAGAAGTTGTATTATCTGGAAATAAATATATAAAGAGACAGAAGTTTCTCTTACTCCATATGTTAGTAATGAATAAAATGTATATATATTATATTCTTTAGGATCCAAAAGGGGAGATCAACATGCTGAAGCATGAGATTGAAGTACTCCAGAGAGGCTTAAGGTATATTTTTCAATTCCTCAATTTTACTATTTGCTTTTTAAATGACATTGCACGAAGTATATCAATAAATTTCTAAAAGGTTGTCTTTGATCCAATATGAAAGCATATAAAATACAATGAATTAATTGAAATTTGCAGCTTCTCTAAAATGTGTTTAGCATCCATGGTTTAATTTTACATGAAGTCCTTATGGGTGTTTGCGGAGATTGAGTAGTATATCACATATCATTTATCCTTGATCTAAGGTCTCGGATTATGAAAAGAGAACTTTTCGATATGAAAACCTATTAATGAACCTATTCGATGCATATTTGAATTAATTAACCCAATAAATTTCAAATATCATTGTTTAGCATAGCATCTATTAGGGGTGTACATAGGTCGGGTTGGTTCGGATTTTACAAGTACCAAATCAAACCAATTGTGTCGGGTTGTTAAATCTAAAAACCAAACCAAACCAATAAAACTCGAATTTTTCAGTCTCGGGTTGTTAATCTCATATATCATATACTAGTTTCTGGATACTCGTATTGCATGTGTACATCGTAATTATGAGTATAAAATTTTAGAAAATTATATAAATATAATTAAATAATGTGTTGAGTTATTAACAAAAAAGTTAAATAAAAATATAAGTTGAAGAAATGAGGAATGGTGCGTTAAAATACTCTTAACATTTATATCAACCCAAATAAAATCATGTTACGGTGGATTGCATCAAGTTGTAGATGGATTGAACACATAAACACTGAGGAAGAAAAATATACAATGGATTGTTTTTATTCTAAAAGAAATTGGAGCCATTAGATTTAATAAATCATATTTTGATGATGTGGCATAATATTAGGTAGCCATTGAACAATACTATATCAAATAGTACTGAGCTGGATCCCAACCCCTTCATTTTAGTGAATTATGGAACAAACAAAGATAAGTGCTAAATTATTTTATGTTTAATTTTCTCAAAAGATTAAATTTCCTAAAATAAACTCAACAACTCAAGTACTAAAGTGAGATCCAAACGAAGTATGTTAACCCTAAAAATAGCGTAAAAATAAAAGAAATGGTAAATAATTACGTGTCTACAAGTATTAACTATTTTTTTATATCCTTTAGAAAGGATAAAGATAGCTCATGACTGAAAACAAAAAGAGAAAATAGATAAAATCAAGTTTAGACTTCATTAATGCAAAATGTTAGAGAAATATAATTGTTCCTCGTCAGTTGTGTAGAGTTTCTAAAGAGGTTTATAGTATCTTGAGTCACTCCATCCATTGCCTTAGGGGTCGTTTGGTACAATGGTGTAATATTTCATGGGATTAGTTATCTCACCTTTTATATGGAATAACTAATCCCATCATAGTTTAAAAGTTATCTCGGGATTAACTAATACTTCAAATTAAATATGAGATAAAGTTAATCTCAAGTCTTATCCCGGGATTATTATTCTTATCCCATGTTCCAAACGGCCCCTTACAATTTGGGATTAGACACTTAGATTCTTTCACACGGTATCAGAGCCAAACTTTAATGGCACAACCACCTCATCTCTTCATGTTTGCTCTGGGTTTCTCTCCTCAACTCAGTCCATTGAACAATTGAGCCATGAGTTCCTCTCTTTCTTCCATGATTAATGCTTTTTCTGATGAATCCGTCATTTTTGAGTATTAAGTTTTTTTTCCTTTCCTCTTAGCTCTTTGTTTTTTTTAATATCAGGGTTTCAAGAATGTAACAAAATGTATTGTGCCTCCTGCCACATTCATGTTTTTATTGTGGAAAACAATAGGACAAATGCCATTGAAAAGTGTACTATCTTTAGTCAAAAAGAGCTTATAATATCTTGAGTCACTCTACTCATTGCCTTAGAGGTCATTTGGTACAATGGTAGGATATCTCATGAGAATAGTTATCCAACCTTCCTTATGGGATAACTAATCCCACCATTTTAATGTAAATGTTATCCCGGAATTAGCTAATACACAAAATCATACATGGGGAACCTTATCCCGGGATTATTATTTTTATCCCATAAAATTTTTTTTCATGGTATCAGAGCCAAACTTTAGTAGGCACATTAGCACAACCACTTCATCTCTCTCCTCAACTCAATCCATTAAACTGTCGAGCCCACTCTTCTCTTAGATTCAAGCCACTCTTTAGCATGTTGAGCTGTCTCTCTTCCATCTTAAAAAACAATTCAGTTCACGTGTAAATTCTAAGAACATATTACACGTGCTGGATGGTCTTAAAGAAATACAGTTATCCTTCATCAATCGTGCAAGAGTTTATAATATCTGGGGACCTCTCCATCTATTTCCTTAAGGTTTTTAGTTTGACGTTTAAATTCTTTTAAATAAAGTAAGAGTTATACCGGTCCAACTAATATTTATTGATATATAATTAGGCTGAATTTTATAGACAGTATAAGCAATCTTTACACTATCACTTGCGTAATTTAAATCTTTCCTTATGTGCTTTAGTACTTTGACTTTATGTTGAAGTGTAAGTTTAGTTATTTTATATGCCATTCAAATTATAATTTGTTCTTTCCCTTTTTTTTAATTTATTAAACTTTTTTCTTAATAATGATATAAAGTTTAATTATCCAAAAACTTCTCCTTTAGCTACATGTATGGAGGAGGAGCTGGAACAATGACACTGGATGAATTGCATTCACTTGAAAAATACCTTGAACTTTGGATGTTTCATATTCGTTCAGCAAAGGTAATAATTTCATGAAATTAATAGTTTATCAATATTATTTAGTGCATTTTTATTTATATGATATGAGAGTTATTTATATAAACAATATATCTTGCAGATGGATATGATGTTTCAAGAGATCCAGTTGCTGAAAAATAAGGTTAGGCAATCTCCAGCTTTTATACTTAGAAAAAGAAGTTTACTGTTATTATATATTTTAATTTAATGCTTTTGAAATTACTTATATGTTTATGTAATTAGTATTTACATGATTGGCTTTTTTTAGTTTCTTTTAATTTACAGTAAAATATCATAAAACGATTTCATTTGGTCAATCAAAAATTAAAGCAAATATATGGAATCTGAACCGGTTTCGGTAAAAGGGATATTTAAAAATGATGGAAAAATATACTTGAACTAAATACACATAGTATTGCTCAATTCAATTTTTGTTGTTTTTGTATTTAGTTAACATTTTGAAGAGACTGACCAAAATAGTCAAAAATTTCTTCTAATTAGTTCAAGTTGTTAGAACTTTTTGGGCCCAAATAGATCAGAATAACATGATATGGACTCATTAATTAAAAGGGTTAAGAATTAACCCAATTAGTTGTCCACTCAACCTCTTCAACAAAAAATAGCCGGAGGAGGAATAATATATGTATAATTTATATTTAATATGAGTATAATCGTGTGTAACTATTGTATAATTTATGTATATAGCTAGAAAAGTAATAATAAATATGACTGGTTACTTGTGTAAATCCCCTGACCACCGAAGCACTTGTGAATCCCTTTTTCCTCGGGCAATATTCTGTTATTTGGTTATTTTTGCTGAAATGAAATTTTTTAGAAATAAAAAATGTTTTTTTGTTTCTAAAAAAAGAAAGAAATAGTATATATTCTGGAGAGTTAAACTGTTTGGGCCAAGTTTCTGGGGAGAAATAAGTGATTTTGAGTAGGAGAAGAAGCTTTCTTTTTCATTGTATGAAAGAAACATAAATTTATAGCTTCCTCAGAATTATTTTTTTGAAGACAAATCTTATCAAATATTTTAAATTTACAAAATTATCTTTCTTATTTTAACCTGTATATTCCTCAAAGGTGACACAATTAATTATGCAAGAGGTACATCTTTACCAAACTATCTCTCTATAAATTGATGATTAATTAATTATGTACTTCAATATGTTTAAATCAACATAAAAATCAAATAATTATGTAAGATGTTCAATCCTATTACTTTGAGTCAACTGTATTTATATTTGTTAAAATTCTTAATTTTTTCCACCTTTTATTAAATAAAACTGAAAAATTATTAAAATAATCATAATAAATATCTAAAATGATTGACTTAATTAAATAATACTAATTGTACGGTGAATTAATATATGACCTTTTCATAGTTTGACACTCAAAAGCGCCTTTTAGTAATATTAACAAAACGAAAGCTATTTTTGTAATACTGAGAAAAGTGCGTCTTAAACGGATTGTTGAAATGCAAGCTGCTACTTCCAACTTACTTCTCTAAAAATCTAATTTAACGAAAAACATTCAAAATAAACAGATTTTAGAAGTTTGGCCAACTGATCTTTAAATATTAATATTATAAATGCAAATGTCACTTATATATATTTTGTAAATTGTGATATTAGCTGCAAGTCGAAGACTTCTTCATAGAATCGGATGCAACATATAGTTATCGGGTTCAGCTGAACCCAGTACTTTTGATGCATGACATAAATTTATATGTAAAAATCACTAAAATTACAATAAATAGCATATATAAAAGTGTGAGTGATATGCTTAATAGCTTGAATTATTATGCTACTTTTGTAATAGTGGAGTTTGTTCTACTTAAAAAATGATATGAATTATAGGCTTTTATTGACAAATATCAATATCTTCAAGTGTGCTATAAAGTTGCTAAACAATATTATGGTAGCTATTTTAATGCATTCTTTACTAAACATGTTTTTACCTTTATATTAGGAAGGGATACTACAAGCTGCAAACAAATATTTACAGGATAAGGTAAGACACAACAAAGATTAATTTTGATTTTTTTTTTTTTTAAATGAAAGTAGTCAATCTTAAATCTTTTTTTTTTTTTCATTGTCTATTTTGCAGATAGAAGAACAATACCCTGTCACTAACATGACATCGACTTTGACTGACTTTCAATGCCCACTAACTGTACAAAATGAGATATTCCAGTTCTAACATATGCTCTCACTGCATAAGATATGCTTATGGTGAAGCATTTAGTAGGGTAATTAAGGACATGTAATAATTGACTGATTAGTTTCAGTTTCGCCTTCTTTAGCCGAGGGTCTATCGGAAACAGTCTCTCTGCCTTTTCAGGGTAGGGGTAAGGCTGCGTACATCCTACCCTCCCCAGATCCCACTTGTGGGACCACACTGGGTTGTTATTGTAGTTTCAGTTTGGAGTGTGAACTTGATATGAACATATAAGTATGTTTATTATATGTTTAATTTAGGTCATATGATCTAGTGTGAGTGTCTCTTCATAGTGTGTATGAAGTGTAGTGCTACTTATAATTATGTCATCTAAAGATTCTAAGTGCTTTATAAAATGGATGAGTATTTGCTAATGAGTGATTAGTTCCTAGATCTTTGGCTTGTTACTGATCGGCTATATCAATAATATGATCCTTATTTGTGTTTTGAAACTCAGTGCTTGAGAATCTTATTTTGGCGCAATTGCATCATATATATTTAAATTCCTTCTTACAAATATTTTGTACATAAGAGAAATATATTAGTCCAGTGTTAGTTATAAGTGTTAGTTATATGTATCTATTTTTAGTAACGAAAAAGGGCTGAAAATACCCCTATAGTATTCTAAATGGTTTGTTATCGCGCTCTGTCCACCTATTTGTCTGAAAATTCATCTAACGTTATCTAGAGGTTTGAAAATACCCCCACGACTAACGGAACCATATGTGGTCCCAACTTTTAATGTGTTGTCACGATTTGATTGGGACACATGGCTATTTGATCCAGGAAGCATATAACCCACCCCAAATATCCACACGCTCCATTTTTTCGGACCACCCATAGTAAAAATACTATTTCTACCTACTCATTCCTTTTAACCCCATTTCATTTTATCTTGGCCTCTCCATCAACTTAGAGCTCTTAGTAATGGCGTTTTAGGATTTAATTAGAATTGCTACCTGCTTCGATTTCGTGGACTAAAATTGAAGAATCTCTCTAGTCTTACTTGACTGAAGAATCACTGAAAGTAAGTATTTATTATTTTGGCTAAGCTTTTCGGGTTTGGGAATATTTTGGGAATCGATAAATATTGTCTCTTTCTTTGTGTTTAATAGGTCATATGATATTATTATTTGCTCCTTTATGCATTTGTTTTTAATTTTTGTTTGGGATGGGCCCATTCCTCTTTGTCCGACATGAAAAAGTTAGAGTTTTTTCGATTTTTAATGTATTGTTGGGTGGGTGTTAGGCGACATAACTGTGGCCCTTTATTTTTCTTTATTGCTTAGATATTTTTTTCACTTTATACCTGACTGACGTGGTCCTGTTTTTTGTAATTTTATTGTTGTTGCATGTAGATATGTCATAAGAAGGGTTGATAAAGTAGAATTGTAATTTAATCATGGTGATGATTGGGAACTCGAAACCAATTTATCTTATTTAAAAAAGATGTGCACCTATTGAGAGAGTATGAAGTAGACCATTTGTAACGACCCGATCGGTCGTTTTACTTTTTAGAACTTCGTTTTCCTAAATAAGATTTTCCATACATGTTTTTACTGATTTATGACTTGCGGGGATGGTTAGTTCATGATTTGGAAGAGTTCGGGTTGAAATCGGAACACTTGGTTCCTTAAGTTAGCTTAAAAGAACAAGTTTGACTTCGGTCAATATTTTAAGTAAACGACCTCGGAATTAGAATCTGACAGTTCCAATAGGTTCATATGATGATTTCGGACTTAGACGTATGTTCGGATCAGGTATTAGATAATTCGGGAGCGTTTTGACGCTTAATAGTGAAAGTTAGTTCTTTGAAGATTTTAGAAGTTCTTTAAATTTGGTTTGAAGCAGGTTTTGATGATATCGAGGTCCAAACGGAATTTCGAGGCCGGAAATAGTTCTGTAATGTCATTTAAGACTCGCACGCAAAATTGTCATTCCGAGTAGTTTAAGTATGTTTCGACGCATTGGAAGTAAATTAAAAAACTTGAAGTTCATAAGTTTGATTCAATTGGTTTTGGGGTATGATTCTTAGTTTTAATGTTGTTTCGGGCGTTCATAGAGTTTGAGCGAGCCCGTTTTATGATTACAAACTTGTTGGTATGTTCGAGCGGATCCCCGAGTGTCAATCGGACGAGGATCGGACCAAGTTAAAAATTTGGAGCAAGAGCTGAAACTACAGCTGCTGTCATAATCACAACTGCGCTTGGCCAGCCCCAGGTGCGGGCTCACAGGTGTGAGCCACGAGTCGTAGAAGCGAAAGAGTGAGGGCAGTCCAGGCACCGCAGGTGCGAAAGTTTTGGCGCACCTGTTTGACCGCAGGTGCGAGATCAGTGGTCGCAGGTGCGGGCTGGTGCGCAGATGTGGTCTTTTGAGCCCACAGATGTGGAGCTTGGCTAGTAAGGGAAAATGGTCACCTGGGATGGCTTTTTCGCAGGTGCAGGATTGCAGATGTAGCCAAGGCACCGCAGGTGCCAAATCGCTGGAGGCAGTGAGATTCATTTAATACAGGACTTAAGTCATTTTTACACATTTTCTTTCACTTTTGGGCGATTTGAGAGCTTTTAAGGAGGGGATTTCGACCTAACTTTCAAAAGTAAGTAATTTCTACCTAATGTGAGTTTGATACATAGTTTATAGGTAGATTATAATATGTAAAATTGTGGAATTTATAGGTTAGATGGAAAACCTAAGTTTTTGATAAAAATGAGATTTAACCATGAAAATGATTATGGAACTTAGTGAAAGTCATATATTTATGTTCCTAAGGTTATGGGTAACAACTTCCTTCGAATTTTTTTGAAATTCGGGCACGTGGGCCTGGGGGGGTAAACTTTAGGAATCTCGCATTTAGGGTTGGGTAATTACTTTAATAATGTGGTTATGAACTTTTAAGCATAAATTGATTAATTTATATAATATTAGACTAGATTCGAGTCGTTTGACATCAAATTTGAAGGTTTAAGTACATTTTTGAACTGGGAAGTAGGCTTTGAGACGAGGTAAGTCTCTTTTCTAACCTTGTAAGAGGGAATTAATCCCAGAGGAAAATTAAATAAATGTGTGTACCTATTGTCGCGCTCCCTTTTTCCCTCGCGGGGAAGTCCGGGTTTCGACGTTCATGGGGGAAATAACTCGTTTCCTTTTGGGAATTGGGTATTTGAAGAGTTGCCACCTAGCGAATTATGGTGCGTTAGTGCACCTAGAGTAATTAACTCATGGACTAGTTTGCATTACCAGAGATTAGGGTAAGGGCTCGAAATAACCTTGAGGGGAAGGTGTTAGGCACCCCTCGTGGTCCACAACGGTGGGTCCCGACCGAACTTAAACTATGTGAATTAGTCATTTTAATAAATAAATAGTTTTAATACATACTCGCAAATAAAGGCATGTTTTGACATTCTAAGTACATGTATGATTCAAGTAATGAAAACAAGGGAAAATGTTTGAACAATTTGCACATATGTAAAGAAAAGTAAATTCATTTAAACAGCGGGAGTTGGGAAAGAGGGATCCTAGGTTGGTTAGCCTACATGATCATATCCACACAATGTACTACCAGAAATTAGGTCTATGGCAACGCTTCTTTTGGCAACGGTTGTATAACCGTTGCTATAGCAAATAATGTATTGCATAATTTTTTTTTAAAAATAATTGCTTACAAAATGCCCTCCATATTCTCTAGCTTTAAGAGACTTTAAGGATAATTTTATCTTTAACCATGCTAATGCATGAATTAAAACCTTAATATTACTAATGTCATGATTTTTTATGCATTACTTATGCATAGGATAATGTCAAGTATGGTTTATAATTAATACAACTTGAAAAAAGGTACCAAACAATGTATTAGTAATGCATAGTTGCATACAACTATTTTTTCGTACCAAAACCTAGCTGCCCCACCCCTCTCTCTCTTCGTTCTTTGTCCAAATTCACGAGACTCCATTCCTGTTTCCTCTTTTTTTGCTCCAAAACACCACAAACCTCATAACAACAGGTAAGGTCTCACCATTTCCGGAAATGCTTTCAAGGAGTAGCAAGTACTTTTGATCTTTGACCAAATCATAAGCAGATCCCCTCTGTCTGTTTCTGCTATGGCCTCAACGTTCGAATTCGAACGGCCATTTTGACTTAAGATTCAAACTCTACTCTAAAAATCCCGCCCAAAATCATAAGAACCCTAGGTTCCGCTTATAAATAGTGGTGTTGGAGAATATTTAGGTTCAAGGTTCAGCCGCCACTCTACCCCTTGAACTTTACTAACTATGAAAAGCCTTAGTCTCATTTGCTTAACTTAAACAACAGAAACGTTTCATTCCCTAATCAAAACTTTCCTATCCGAGAACTCTCTCAAACACGGCCTAGAATCAAACACAGCTAATTAGCCATTGTTATTCTCTTTTAAAACATCTCTGTCTCTGTTGACTTTAAGCAAAGCAGAGAGTTTTGAGTTCGCCCGATTCTAGTTCGAATCTGTTCGTGACAAAAGAGTAGATTCGAGGTCGACATCCCCAGTCTCACTGCCCAACAACAGGTAAAATCTGACTCATCTCGATTTATTTTCTTCGTTTAAATACACTTAGAAAATCATGTGTTAGGCTTTCTTTATTTTGTCCTGTTGAAGTGTGTTAGTGACAATTTGATAAGGATAGAATCATGTTCTAGGACTTGTATGTTCAGATTTTTCTCATTGAATTCTCATGGTGAAACTGTGGTATTAGTTACTGTTTTGGATAGTGAAGGAGCTATTGATGATATTTGAGTATAAGCCATGCCTTAAGACTAATATGTTCTATTTTTTGTTAATAAATCACATAGAAAATATTGTAGTTCTCCTCTAAGCTTGGGTGCTGAATAGTGAAATTCTTTATGTAGTATAGTTTAAATAAAAAATGCTCTACTGTTTAGTTTGGCTCATTGTTTCGGTTATATGGGAATGCGATTCTAGTTTTCTTTTATTTGTATCTAGCGAACCGTGTTGAAGACTCATTCATACATAGAAGTCATGTCTATAGGCTTACACAGCTCCTATTCAACTTGAAACAACACCCTTTTATTTTACACTTGTATAAATCAGTAGTTAAGTTTAAGACCAATATTTGTGATTCTTTCCTGATTAATCTAATCACATGAACTTGTATGGAGTCAAACCTGTCTTCTATGTGATAGCCAAAAATGTCAATCTTTGCTTATTTCTTCGTTCTTAGTAAGTTTTAGAGTTCTGTTCAAGTGAAAGATATCAATTAGTATATAATGCATTGAGTAAGAATGTGTTTAGGTTTCAAGTAAAATAATTGTTAATGTGCCTAATCATTGTGTGATAGAAAGTTGTTAACATCCAGTAGATTAAGAGTTGAATAATATGTAGTTTATTTTTGTTTATATGTCATACTTGACTATTTAAGTACTTCTAGGAACACACGTGCTTTGGTGAACATTTCTTGTCCTTTGATGAATTAGGCATTGGTTTAAAGGAAGCTTTGGTTTATATGGCCATGAATCAGTTGCGCTTTTGCTTTCTTCTTGCTATTATAAATATTAAAATACCCTCTAATTCCTCACTTTTTTTCTTTTGTTTTGCATGACACACGAGTCAGCACACTTTTTATGTTCTCACTGCCTCATGTAGCGACAAAACAACAAAATTATCCCGCATGGGATGCTGGCTCTGAAGCCAGTCATTTGACCTTTTGATTTCTACATTTCTCACTTTGTTGCTTCTTTGTGTTTGGCGACAATTTAATTGTTATCTGATCCTATACCAATTCAGCGGGTTGTTTACTTCTGGATAATTATATAGGTACTCATTTTTACACAGAATATAACACCTAGATAAGGACTTTAAAATCAGTGGCCTAACAACTCTTTTTCCTACTCTTCCCTTTTAACTCATCTAGTTGCCATTTTACAAGGTTAGAATAATAGACAAGTATTAACTTTGAAGCAGTAACAAGCTTTTCTGGACACACTTTGAAATTTGACCTATTATTTCCCTTTTGTTTGAAGCGAGTCGAAAGTTCCTGTTATTAACATCAAAAGACGATTTTGTAAATCAATAGAACTTTATCATTTTTCTTCTAGTCTAACTTTGACCTTTGCTTCGGGCGTTAGTCCACTTTTGGTAAAAATCATTTTCTCAAATCTTAATTAAGAGTTCAAGTGCACTACTGTTTGACTCCAAACTTAGCGTACGTACAATACTTATTTTATAAAACATTTAGTCACTTATATTTTTAGAAACTAATATATTTTTTACATTATAATACTTAGCTTTAATTAACTTAAGTTTGACCGGTTAACCGTAGTTAGCAGATCATATAGGGTGCCTTCATAATCTTCCCTATAGGATTAATTAGAACCCCTACCTGGAATCTCTAAGGTTAAGCAGACCATAAAACATAGTTAACTTTAAGCATTACTTAGCTAAAATTGGTGGTGTCCTAATTCACCTTAAAACTAATTAGGTGGCGACTCTCTTTAATTAATTAAACTTTCAAAATTACCAATATATTATACTCTAGTTTAACCCGTGTTAACACTTAGTAGATGCTCGTGACTTGTGACATCCCGATGTCGTGCTTGTGTATTTATTCCGCACTGTTCATTATGAAATATTTGATTAATTAAAGACTTAAAAATGACTTTTATTGATTAGTGTCGGCTGACCTAATTTCATGAGAGACACCATCACGACCGGGTCGGTTTTAGGGTTATGACAACCGCTTATAAAAATTCATGTGTATACCACTACTCCTTAAGTAGTGAAAAAGAATAGTGACAGCTCTGAAGAAACCCACTCTGATGAAGATGATTTGATTCGGACAAGGTTTGACCACGCTTGATGTTTGATTTGTGTTATTTTTGTCTTCTTGCTATCGCATGAAATCCTTTATTTACTCAAGTGAGTATTTTACTTGCATTATCTTATCATATTTTGCTTGCATTTGTATGTTGTCTGATAATTTTCTTTCTTTAGGGATGTAAACAGAAGGTAGGCTGGCAAAATCTTCATCTTCTACTTTTGTTTTTTTATTTACTTTGATAAGTCTCCATCTTCTTTTTAATTGTATTTCATAATGTTCTACTTGGCAATAAAATGAACCTTTCCCTTTCGTTCGTGCAATTCAGAAATGAACATATGCGGTAATCAATGTTTTCTTAAAAAAGCTTAATTTTTATAGGTAAAATGACATTACATCCCTTTACTTCTGATATATCAATCATTTTAACCAACACGAAAATCTATCTCCATTTCTTTGACTTGATGTTAGTAATTTGTTAGCCTCGGTTTACATTCTGTAGTTCATTGCTTTCCCCATCCTTTGCAGGTTCCTTCATTTGCAGACGGTGATGATGAGAGTAAGGATGATACTTCTGAAGAAAGTGATGAAGAAGAGCCTCAAAAGAAAAAAAAAATCAAGGTCTGGATATGTTTCATTCATGATATTTTAACTTGTATTTCATTTTAGTTCATTGTCTAACAATTGTGTTTCACAGCCCTCTAGCATATCCCTAGTCTAACAATTGGATTTAACTAGAAAAGTCATTTTTCCTTGCAAATATTTTCGATTAAAAATCTAGTCATAATATAGATAGTAATTAGCTAGGGACCATTCCTTGCTAAAACATAGCTAGAGATTTTCCCAAGCCAAATTTATAGCTAATTTTTACGGGGAATCCTAATTTGGCGCTAAATTTAGTTTTCCAAAAGATCATAGGTTAGATAGGGACACATTCCGTAGCAAATCCCTAGCAATGTGTTAGCAAGGAACATCTCCTAGCTAATCTATAGCTAAATTTTAGAGGGAAATCTATTTTGGCGCTAATTATTTTTCCCGAAACTTTATCTTTTAAGCTAGGAATATATTCCATTGCTAATCCCTAGCAAAAAAGCCACTAAGGATGTTTCCTTGCCAAATCTACAGCTAAACTTTAGCGGGGCATTCCAATATGTTGCTAATCTTTTGTGTTAAATTTGGTTATTTAGCTATGGCGAATCAAAGTTAATCTCAAGCAAATTATTATTATTATGGCAATTTATTAATTAGGAATGTTTAAATATGAAAATCTATCAAAATTGGCGGGGCCACAACCCACATATTTAAAATAATTTTTCTATGTATAATTAAAATGATTGTTTTGTCCTGTCATTATTTCTTATTCTATCTCACCATCCTAATTAAATTTGTGGAGAAGTCATCTAGACTATCTTTAAGAGGATTTAGAAATAAAATATGTTTTTGTAAAAGAATCCAGATTAGCTAGCTAGCGGGAAGGTGTAGCTAATTTATAACAATTTAAAATAAGTCCTTATTAGATAATAATATTTAAATCTCAAGC